CAGTCTTAAAAACACTTCCTCATGGAACATCTCAACACCCTTTTCACTCTTACTGGTAGCTGCTGGAGCCTGAAGCTTCCCTGGAGTTTCCACTATCTGCCATTTCAGCCAGACTGAACTGTTTTGTTATATAGTATGTTCTCCGTTTTTCTTGTTCCTCTATCTTGTTCACACATTTACTCACTGCTGCACTTGGGCAGACAGCTCCTTTACCCCTGTCTTCCTCCTTTTCTAGCAGCAAAAATTGAACAGATATCTAATTACAGACATGTCAATGCTCATTAAATTCCAATTGTTTTCATTGCCTCTGTTCAGAACCAACAACACAAGAGTATTATTTTTTATTATGTTTTGTGCAAAATACTCAGTGAATACTTTGAGAATATATACTTCCTGATACTGATGTCTTCTAATATACTGTATATCTAAAACATTTCTTGACAGCTATGATAGAGGTCAGTCTGTCTTCATAATTCAGTGATGTGTTTAATCTCCACATCTGACAGGAGGTAGCAGCACAAGGTCTTGACAACGATCACGAGTCCTGAAGACTGGATAGATCTTCTCCCCCTGATTAAATACCATGTCTGTGAAAGTGTAGATATGAGACCTGGACTCCACTGTGTAAAAGGAGACCTTCCTCTCCTCGATATCCATACATACCCCCACCTTCCTTGGCCTCAGACTGGAGAGCAGAGGTGTTACAGGGTCAGAGAGGGCAGAGAAACCAGAGTAGCCACTGTACAGACCCCAGTAGCCACCTTGGGGAACAAAGCTAAACCCTGCTTTCCTCTCTGCAGACTCTCTGGTCACTCCTATTGTCCAGTCATCATTCCCCTCCACTTCCCAGTAGTGTCTTCCTGAGGTGAAGCCTTCCCTGCTCAGGACACAGGACCAGTAATCAAATCTCTGTGGATTGTCAGGGAGATCCTTTTCTTCTCCTCTTCTCACTCTCTTCCCATCCTCAGATACAATGAGAGCAATGTGAGCTGTATGAGGATCCAGGGAGAAATACTCTGCTGGGACAAAACAGGACAGATTGGTACAGGAGAGGTTACACTAAAAATTAAGCTATCCTTTACAACTCGTAACCCATTTCACCGCTTTTCTCTATAGCTTCTCATTCTCAACCAGCTTAATCTTTGGATCGTTTTTTTTCACCATTGTACATTTCCCTAAATATCCAAATCTGCTCCTGCTGTTCCTCTGTTTATAGAATCTTTACCTTCACCATCATCTCACCATCTCCAATATCATCATTCCCCCTACTACATCTCCAATTTAAATATTTAAATATTCCTGCTATCAAAGACTGGACTCTCCATAAACAACTTTCCTCCAAAAGGAATGTCCTACACAATGTTTTTCTTCCCCTTTTCTCTTTTCCTAACTCTTATGAGGCTGATTCTCAGATCTTCCATTCGGCCTTATCCTTCTTTTTTTATTTCTAGTCTTAATATCCTATCTTCTGAATCTGCTTTTCTACTTATTTGTCTACTTTCTTTTTATTGTTCTTGTACTGTCCTTATTCGTTCCTGTTTCTTCCAACCCCCTGCTCATTCTTCTATTTCCTCTGTTCTTTATTCTGCCTCTATCTCTGGTGTCAAACATGCACCAAACTCAATACCTTTGGTGCCTTCAGCCCTGGTTTCAATCTTTGCTGCTCCCGATGTCACCTACTTGACCCAAGTTCTGTCCAGTGTCTTATCCTGAGCTCAAACAGCAAGCCCTGATATTTGCACTTAACATGACCTATTAATTACCTCCAATTACCCATTTCATTCACAATGTATTTTTCTGTTCACAACACTGCAACTCTGTTCAAATCCCAACCCAAAGAAATGCAAGCCCTATATCTTTCAGACTTTTCTCCTACAATTCACAGTCAGCCATATCCTGCAACTCTCTTTCAGCAGACAATCTACAGTACTGTACCTCTCTCGTCGAACCCGGTTTCATCCCTTTTAAACCTTGCTGTTCCTGATTCCACCTTCTCAGCCCCAGGTCTTGCATTATATCTTCTATTCAGTCACCAGGTGTCCTACAACATTACCATTCCCTCTTTCCCATTCCTTTTCTAGTTTCACAAAACATTCCTTTATTTAATTAATCAATCCCTTCATTCTGACTCCTTTTCAGCTCACATCTCTGCTCTTATAATAAAAAAATCCAACTGTACCACTATTCCAGTTTCTGCACCTACCGATGCCTTGATGTTCTCTGCACCTCTTATCCCCATGTAATAGCAAATTCCACAATTTGTGGACTTTAACCTCACCCATCTTCTTATTCACTCTACTAGCCCTTCTCAAACTAGAACCATTGATTGTAGTCCTCTTTCCTTCTGGAGCAAATCTACAGACTTTTGTTCTTTGTCCTTCCTTACCATGACAAACCAATTGATGGTAAAATGTCTCGCACACTGTAAGAGGACCATTCCTTTGAGTCTTATTGGTTTCTAAGAACACTTTCAGAAACACAGCTTCCTACTATATTCTTGTTCTCATTCACATCTAAAGTGTACAGTACCTACCTTGATGAGGAATGGACCCCTCTGCTCCTGTAAAGAACAATGAAAAAGATCATTACTGGAAGTGCAGAGAGAAGGTGTTAGAACAGAGTAGGACCTGATGCAATTGAGAGCTGCGCTGCTCAGAAGGCATGTCTCGGTGAGTGAACAGTGTGGGACTGTGGCCACAGAGCCTGTGCTCATTGGTGACACATCTGTCTGCTTGACAGGTACCTCAAGCCTTTTTAGAAATCCCAAGTTCTAAGAAACAACACAATATTGAAAACATTCTGTTTTTAGTTTGGGATTGAAAGACACCTAGTTTATTTTCTCTGATGTTTACAGTCTTGCATGTTCAAATGCACCCTCTATTTGCACTGTAAAATATATGAAAATTGAGTTGTATCTGTTTCCATAAGGCCCACCAACCTTCACCTTCTATGCAGTATGTGAGCCAGCAGAGTTACTAAACTTAAATTGTTACAGAGATACTTTTCTAACCAGTTTTAAGTCACATAATTGGTGAAACATAATTTATTGTTTGATGATGTGATTAGTTATTTTTTTCATACCATTTTTGCATTTTTGAATGACATACGGTCATATTTTCCAAAATAACTAATATCAACGTCATCGAGTGATGTGTCTAACCATTCAGTTCACCTCCACTGCATTGTTAACAAAGTGTAGTGGAGTATGGTAAACTACATTGTAGCAAACTATAACAGAAAATCCCAAACTACAGGATAACTTTCCATACTACCATATAGTAATTTATAGCAGTGTTTTATATTAGAGAACTGTAAATTACAGCATGGTTTAGTACAAGAAACTACAGTGGATTCATTAAATTCTACTTTATTTCAGGCTGAATTTTTCATCTTACAGGACATACTGTGGACTACTTACCAAGTTCTTTAAGAAGTACTAATGTATTTCCTGCAAATAATGAAAGATGTAAATCGTAAGTCAGTGCCATAACAATGTTCTAATAGTATAAGAAACCCTATTCTATAAACAATAATAAAATAATATCTGAAATTACATGAGCAATACTTTATATGCTTAAAGCTAAATTTAAAAGGCATGAAACAGTTAACCAAACTAGAACTCAGAATTATTTTGTATGGTATTTTAAGCACTATCAAGAGTAAAAACTACAAGAATCAAAATATCCAGAAACCAGTTACTTTAGAATGTGTATGCAATCCTGCACTGTACAATACTGCATGTAATGTTACTACAGAGACATTTCCTAACACCAGCTCTATTGATTCACTTACGTTTAGATTCCCACAGCCTCTCCTCCTCTGTAAAAAACATAGACAGTGAAGTCACTATCACTGATAAGGCTCCTGCACTGACAGCAGCTGTTTTTTTAAATATTTTCAGTTTGTAAATTAAGAACAAACTTCAAAAAGTCTAAAGTCTCTGATATTTAAACACTGCTAAATCATTTTCTCTTACTATCTAGAGTTCAGACAATATTCTCTGGTTGAATTACAAAGTCAAATTCAGTAAATTTGACTTAAAGGCTAATCCATTTTACAAAACCGGTAATTGCAATTTATTGAACATCTTTAGATCATATATATTTTCACTTTGGAAATAAAGTAACCAAAAGCAAAGTATGTACTGTATGTTTTCCTCCTTATACAGTATGTGCTGGAATGGCCAAGTACAGTAGGTAGACATCTCAAATACAGAGCATTGACTAATATGTTGCATTTTGTTTTTGCTAAATCCCCTTGTTGTGCTTTTACATAACAATGAGTCTAGATGTTTCACAAGTACTGTAGGTACACAAATGAAGCAATACATTAAGTGTAAAGTTTTATAATGGTTCCTTAATACAGTTTAACATAGTTGTACTGCATATGTATTGTAATAATAAATTATTATTCTTTAATCACATATTTGATAAAGTTGTGCTTTTTCCATGTCAAGTCAGGATATTAAATACAAAATCTGTTAGTAAAAATGTTCTTCTGTTTGTTAAGCAAACCTCCTTTAAAAGCTGCTTAACTGAATCCTGCTATTTCACTGATACCAACTGTCAGGTGATGGTCAGGTGACTACTATTTAGTCAGCTATTATACTGTAGTTATCCTGTAACATATAGAATGGAGAAGATCCTGTAGTGACTCTAGTCAAGAGTGATGTGCTCAGTAGAGTGTGTGGAAACTGTTTTAACTGCTACCAAACTCACACTAAGAGCTCATTAGAGTTGAACAGTACAACACAGGGCACTGAGGAGAATGAGGCTCATTAACGAAGAACAGCCTGCTCTCATCAGCTCTCATTCTGTGGTACAAGGTGAGAGAGAGTCAGTGTAAATCTTCCAAAATGTCTGCACTGAGACTGGAAAGCCACAACAAAATGATACAATGATTCCCAGTGATCAGCACTACTAGTGTCTCTGATAAGAATGAGAATGAGGGCTGTTCTTGAGATACGTGTACTTGCAGATCTAAAAAAAATATTATCAAAACTTGGGCAAGAACATAATACATTGTAATTTGTAGCTATGACACACTGGGTGAAGAGTATGTATCACGTCCTCATGGAGCGTTCATGACACAAGAACTGCAAGACCTGAATAATCTGGTAAATACAGAATCTCCAGTACTGTATTATTTTAATACCTGAAACAAAACAAATAAACAATCTGGCTTTTTCTAGCATTTACTTCATCTTCCTCTCGTTTGCTACCTGCTGATAGTTGATAACCAGCATGGAAAGACTTCTGAAAAATAGATGATGAATGTTTTACCAAAACAATATTTTTTGTCATTCGGGTACAAATCCAGGGAAGATTATCTTTCCAAAACTCATGTCATGTTTCCAAAAGACTAAAATTATTGTACTTCCTTCAAGCAAATTCATGCAAATTAATCTGACCACAGCTTCCATGCAGACCAAACAAATTTCCATAAATCTTTGTTCTTTGTTGTTTTCTTTAAATGTGTTTGCAATTATCTGAGTTTAGACAAAAGGGAAACAGGAGAACGTTTCCTAAACTATGTCCTAAAGGGTACTGTATGTCTAAGATCAACCCAGGGGACTGCTTCACACTTACCCGTCAAGCAAACATACAAGGATAAAACTAGAAACCAAATAGGATTTTATTTGAGATTAAAAATAGAAAGTGTTTTTTAAAAAAGAATTTGTCAATACCAATATCTTTATTAGGCTTTACAGCCAGGTGCTCAAACTCTAAATTTGTATACGAAATCCTGGATGAAATTTAAGCAACTAAACTTCCACATGAGCAAGACATATTCAACGGCTTTTTGTTGTGTGCAACAACCTTATGTTCTTAAGCAATTACTGTGAATCATCTGAAAAAGCCCTATCCATGCCAAAGTGCTTTATTTACCCATAGTACCTGGATGGGAGACCTTCTGGGAAAAACTAAGGTTGCTGCTGGAAGAGGTGTTAGTGGGGCCAGTGGGGGGCGCTCACCCTGCGGTCCATGTGGGTCCTAATGCCCCAGTATAGTGACGGGGACACTATACTGTAAACAGGCGCCGTCCTTCGGATGAGACGTAAAACCGAGGTCCTGACTCTCTGTGGTCATTAAAAATCCCAGGGCGCTTCTCGAAAAGAGTAGGGGTGTAACCCCGGTGTCCTGGCCAAATTTCCAATTGGCCCTTACCAATCATGGCCTCCTAATAATCCCCCTCTATGAATTGGCTACATTACTCTGCTCTCCTCCCCACTGATAGCTGATGTGTGGTGAGCGTTCTGGCGCACTATGGCTGCCGTCGCATCATCCAGGTGGATGCTGCACATTGGTGGTGGTGGAGGGGAGTCCCCATTACCTGTAAAGCGCTTTGAGTGGAGTGTCCAGAAAAGCGCTATATAAGTGTAAGCAATTATTATTATTATTATTAAATTATTTACTACATACTGTCCATTCTTCTCCAGTGGATCACCAAAAGTGCTGATGCTGCCATGGTAAAAGCTGCTGTTAAGAAGAGACACACCATCCATCCAGAAGGTCCAGGGAAAACATCTTCTAGAAAACAGCACAGAAATATATACCATAAATAAAATTAAACCACAAATCAGATATCCAATAAAGTTAATTCAAAGATTATTGCTGCAGGTTTAACTCTGAAGCATAAGACAACTGGAATGTCCAAGTTCTTTTTTTTTCAGCTCAGATCCTGTGTGGCAATAAATGAGTCTTGAGAACAAAGAAAAAAAGAAGAACCATGATGACTCAAATTAAAAAATAATGTATTTTTGAAAAATGTGAATCATTTCTGAGTCCTTTATTTTACAGCACAGTACTGAATGAGATTATAGTATGTAACTTTAGTTTATAGTTCCAATTTTGCAGAAAAAGTTCCAATCAGAAGCAGATTGAAATGAAATTAATGTTAAACATTTGGTGTTTTTAGCTTGTCACCCATTACATTTTTATTAGTCATTAAACATCCTATGGGATGTCTCTTAAGTGAGACTTCAAGGAATGTAATATTTCCCTTTCCTGTCATGGATTCAATAGTAATCCTGAAAATCAGAGAGTTATATAACTGGTTTCTGGTAATTATTTCCTGATTTGGGTTGTGTTTAAGTATACAGTAAGTTATACAATGGGTATATTATACTTCAAATATTTTATATTTAGACTCCAATGTTCATGTTTAGTACTCACTGGATATGTAAAGCTGTGATCCACAGTCTGTTTCAGGTAGAGCACTTCTTAACAGACAGGAGAAAATGTTGGACTCCCGTTGGGCTGAGATGTAGCTCCTGACATTAAGTAGCCCCAGACTGTCCCTCTCCACTGTGGTGTTGGACAGTGATGTCACATCGTTTCCATCCCTATCTGTCCAGATCACTGCAGGTTCAGGGAACCACCCCTCTGATCTACATAGCAGCTGGTCCTCATCTCCTCCAGAGGAGTGGAGAGACACTGAGGGCTGGGAGCCCAGGGCTGTGGATTCATCATAAAAAATTGACAAGAACGCGGAGCTGGATTTGTTGTGATTCATTCAAATGACTTGTAAACTAAGAAAATTATTGTAAGATTTTAAAATAGGAATGATGAGATGTGCATACTCCAATTTAAGTGCAGTGATTTACAGTCAGTTCTTCAAAATTTTCTTAAATAAAATATTTACTCAATAAAATATCCTTAATCTTTGCATATTCTTTTCTTTTTTATATGCATATGATTGCATATTTCATTTGAAGGCCAATTGTATTTTTTTTAAATGTTCCTGTTATTTGTATATTTATAGTAACAGATCTTAACAACCATTAAATGCTAGCCCTCGTTTTGCTCATCATCATCATTGCACATTCTACAGAAGCACCATTGAGAGTGAGCACCTTGACCAGCTGTATCACTGTTTGGTTTGGGAATTGCAACGCTTCAGACCGCAAGACCCTGCAGCGAATTGAGGAAACAGCTGAAAACATAATTGGAGCCTCCCTCCCTTCCATTCCTGTCATCTATCACAAGTGCTCCCCACCACTCCTCCCATAAACTCTTTGCCCTTCTACCATCTGGAAAAAGATATCGCAATGTATGGGCTAGCTCCACCAGACTCTGTAACAGGCTCCACAACACCCTGGAATCTACTTGCACCCACTCCTATTCCAGAAACAGGGTTTAAATTCCGCCAGTGTTTTTGTGCATATTTTATTATGTATTTGCCTGAGTAATTTGCTCTATCTGCACTTTGCACTATGTGTATCCTGTCTGCAATGCCTATGTCAGTGTCTTGTCTGTATTTGCACCGTGGACCACAAGAAACAATATTTCATTCCACTTTATACTTGTATATGGCTGGAATGACAAACAGACGTGAACTTGAACTTGACTTTGTCAATGCTACAGTGCCTTATACCTTAGGTGATCCCAATTTAAAAAAAACAATAATCCACCACACATAAACACTGCTTGAGAGAGTGCACATCTCTTGGCTAAGACTAAAAGCAGATTAATAATGTTTATGTTCATTTCATGTCTAGAAACACAGTAACTGATTCAGCTATAATTACTGCCAAGGAACTCCGGTAAGAAGAGAATGAACATATTGTAGCAAGAGAATTTCTTACAGAGTTTCTCAAGTGAAAAATCGCCACAAAACAGACTGTAGAGTTTCCCTTCCGTGCTCTTCCACAGCACTACATCAGTCTCAACTTTACGTGTTTTTCAGTTTTAGGTTTCTACTGAAGGTTGACAGAACACATCAAATACTATTATCACAGAATGTACTGTGACACCAATCTCATTAGACCATTTAAAAAGACCATTAGACAAGCATCCATCCTCCATATAAATTATATACAAGCCAGCATCTTTTGTGACACTTTTCTCTCCCTAATTTTCCAGTGTTGTTACTCTGGACTGCTGTTCTTAAGTTTGAATTTCCTGTTTAAGTGGGGAACTTTTAAAATAAAAAAATTGAGTTTTAAATTTTGAACTGAGGGGTTACTGCCAGGGTCACTGTATCTCATCAATCAAATATAACAGATATCCATCACATTAAATGTAGTCCCTGTCACGATATTAGTTCCCCCTCCTTAATGGTGCTCCAGCCCTATCACTCAAGACTTTATTCTCTGCACCTGTTCCCTATTCCCAGCCCACCTTAAAAGCCAGGCGCTGACGCTCATCCGGGCTCTGCATCTGATTTCCATATCGTGCGAGTCCGGGACCTGGAAGCGCCTGGTCCCGTTAAGGCTTTAACCTCTGTTCCCGTTCCCGTTCCCCGTCCGCCAGTTCCGACCCGGCCTTCGTGGTTTTTAATTCTTGTTCTGATGGATCTCCTGGTTTTGGACTTACCCTTGCGTTTTGGATATTCCCTAGGACTACTCTCTCGGATTGTTTGCCTCGGCCACACCTCCCCCGTGCACCAGCGCACCGTGGACACGCCCCCCTGTCTTCAGCCCCGTTTTCCTGCATGACGTTTCCCTAGTGTTTCCTCAATCCGTTGGATTGTGTCGTCTGCATAAGGTCCGGAAAGAACTGTTCGTTACAGTCCCATCTGAATATCTGACTGAATATACTGAACATAAACATTGAATTCCAAAGATCCATGATCTTTAAAAGCTTGATTAATCACTCACCTCTAATGGACAGATCAATAAGAGCATCTTCATAATGTTCTGCAGACTCCACCACACACTTATACTTTCCATGGTCAGAGCGCCTCACATCCTTCAGTTTTAGAGACATGTTTCCTCTGGGGAGCTCCTCTGGGAAAAGCTCAGCTCTTCCGCTGTAAGAAGGGTTCTGTTTTTCAAAGTTATAGCTCCCATATTGGTATAAACACACAGCTGTTCTGTAATCTTCTCGAAACCACTTGATCTCTAGGTCCCCAGTGCTGATGTCTGGTGAGAGGTAACAGGGCAGGACAGCATCTTCACCAGGGAAAACAACAACAGGATCAGCTGGGCCAAGAACCTGAAACATTTCTGGAAGAGAAATAACATGCCTCCACCTTGTATACAAACTCACTGAAACAGGCTGCAGACACTTTGCAGTCATGCATTGTTTTCCTTATTTAGCCCTGCCTAAATGGAATCCAAGGTCAATATCCTGCTGGAATGGATGTACTGTACTCTTTAATAATCTTGAATTATTTTGGAAACTTTACAGTACACGCCTGGTTAGGGTTTTAATTCAAGGGAACCACTTGGTCATCTAGTCTGAAAAAAATAACATTTTTTTCCTTTCTTCAAAAGGCAACACCTAGGATGCCCTAATTTTCTTTCCAGGTCTTCTATTATATATTTACTAACTTGTATAACAAAACTAAACTAATTAAAGAATATAAAAAAGATTCTGCATGCTTTTTTTTATAAAGACAGGACCTGGAATGGTGCTTTAAAAAAAATGGAAAAAAAATAATAAAAAGAAAAAAGTACATTTCTATAACAATTGAATTTACTACTGGCATTGCTAGATAGGTTATTGTTGTGTTCAGTATGTAAAAATGTTTGTATATTTTTTAACACTTCTGGTTTATATTTATGAAAAAAAGGGACAGGAGTCTTTGGGACATTCACTTGATTGAAATTGCAGAAATACAAAAGTAAAATGCAAAGACCACCTAAGAATCTCCCCTAACAGAATGTGCTGAATGACAGCTGTTTCAACTTATTAGATCAGATATGGATCTTTTGCCATGTTTATGTCTGAGCAGATATTGCATATCTAATCAAATCTGATCCAACTGGTCAGTTAAACACATTAGAACCCCCATTGGTCTCCATTTCCAGACAAAGCTTTAAATGTCTCATGTGTATATGTGTAAGGATATTCAAATGCAATTGAACATGAAATTGTCGCTACTTTATAAGTTAGGGAAACTGGGCGCTATGTATTTTGGCAAATATTTGCTTTTACTGGAGAATTGATAAATTGTTGACCGACTTTGGAGTTTCTCTGGACTACCACACCAGATAAATAGTAGTATAAAAATATTTAGTTGCCATATTTGATTTTACTTGGTTGCTAAATACACTGTTGTGAAGCTTAGGTTGTTTTGTATCTTGTGATATATAAAGTATGTGGTGTTGTGTTTTGATTTTGCTGGTATAAATTGATTACATTCACTGGTTGTGCTGTTTGTGTGTGAAGTATTCCAGTAATTGCTAGCCCATTAATTTGTTGGTTTATGAGAAAATAGTTTCACTTAATAACTGTATTTCAAGGGTTTTCAAGACCACTTGCATTGGCAATACTTTCAGAAAGGATTGAAAATTATATTATTATTTTGGATATGAGCACAAATTACTGTTCTGTGATTTTAGATTTTAACGGAGTCTCTGTTGGGACTGGAGGATGAAAAGGTGCTGCCTTTCAAGCTATTTTGGGAACCTCAGCTTTGGACTGAACTACTGTAACTACACACTAACTACAAACTGCACACCTTCTCAACTACACACACTGAACAGAAGCTAACTAAAATACATACAACACCTGCAACCTAATGAATTTACAGCTCAGTATACAAGCATATAAAATAACAAATCAGTCTATTGGACAGAACCTGACACTGGGCTTCCTCTCTGTTAGCTCAAAGTTATAATCAGGGTCTTGAACCTGGGATTCCCTCAGGCCATAATTGTGTGGCTGTGATTTGGCACTTGTAATCCAGTTCAGCATAAGTATACTGAAATCTCTCATTGGATCAGATTTAAAAGCAGTGCGAGTTAGAGATGAATATAATCACTTTTTGTTCTGCTTTCTTGTTTTATTTATTTGATACAGGCTCAGTAGCTCTGGAGCTTGACCCAGTGATACTGCAGTTCATCTTTATTCTTAAGTCAGAGATCTGGATCTTGAACATCTCAAAGATAACAGGTGATCAGCACAACTTGATAGGTTTCAGTCCAGTGAGGTGAACATTAATAAAGTACCACCTCCCTGGAGCTTCTAGATTGACTTACCACCATCATTCTCAGTTGTTTGTCAATTAGCTGAACAAGAAAGACATAATAGACCATAGACTGTGGAATCCATTGTGCATGTCTCAGTCACAAAGATAAATTGAAGGTAAATGAAATGGAAATGGAAACTTTTCTCACTGTACCTGATCTAGCAACCAAGGTTTTGTGGAAGAACAGATGAAAGGTAAGAAGACACTCCCAGTGGTGCCACTTCATTTCTGAGATAAAAGATAGTATTTGTCAGTATCCTTCTCACATCTTGAGCAAACACTCTTACTAGTCACATTCAGAGTGACAGTCCTAGCTGCAGGGAGGTGCGTAATCACAGTTTTGTAGACACTCAGAATCACAGTCTAACGGAAGACTACTGTGTATTACAGACACTCATGGTGACAGTTCCGCTGCAGTAAGGTGTGTCTCTCTGTGCTGTAACTACAGCACTACAAACATCCAGAGTGAAATAGTAATCAAGTACAACTTGTTAACATTTTTGTTAAAGGGTCATATGGTCTTGAACATGTATTTTGTAAATGTATTTATAAATCTTTTGATTTTCTTTAGAAACCAGTCAGCCATTGAGCTAATGTAATATGCCATGTGTGGCTGCCACTGTAACTCCATCATTCACCCTTGCTAATATGATAGCTATAGAATTCATTCTGAAGTTTAGAGGAGCATTTTCCTGTTTGTGTAGAAGAAAGTGCAACTGTAATTACCAATTCTCTTCACCATATTAGAAGTAGGTTAAACAATGATCCAAAATATACAGCCAAATCAACCAAGACGTTCTTCAGGAGAAAACAGGGAACATCTTACACTAACCTTGTCAATTACCAGATCTAAATCCAATTAAGTAGTATTTTACATGCTAAAGAAAAAAAGAAGTCAGAACACCCCAACAATAGGCTCAATAAGAAATCAAAGTGGGTACAGCAAAGTTACATAAGCTAAGCCACAGATCTTAAATTATTGCACAATCTGGTTAACTTAATGGTTTGGAGACATCTAGCTATTATTAATGCAAAGTGACAGACAACCAAAGACTAATTTTCACACCATAAACGTCATTTAAATTTAGTGTGTTCCAATACTCATGATCACTTGAAATCACTGGCTTTAAAACAAACTCTATTTATCTGCTCTAATATGCATGGCATTATCACAAAATATAATATATTTCAGTTTTGATTTCTACATTAGATTTCAGAGTAAGGATACAGGAAACAGATGTAACAGAATTTCCGGCACACACATACTGTGAGTTGTAACATCCCACAAACACACAAACCTTTCCCAGTCTCTTGAATTCTATCACTAGAGTTTAGGAACTTACCGTTAATTTTAATTCAAAGTGCAGGTTATTTCAAATCCAACAACGCTAGAAAAGTTGTTTCTGGGGTTTTGTAAGATCCTGCACTTCCCCATTCATCTAGCTTCTGTTTTCTGTTTCATTTTCACCCTCACTCTTCACTCAATGTGAAGAGGAGCCTATATCACAGTGGGAGGATGTGCAGCTAAGGCACAAACAGAAAGAGAGGAGTTTATTTGCCGTATAGTACATGTACATTGGGATTCGGATTCGCCCTGTTCTCTCGGGATGTGCACAGTGCAATAGACAACGTTTTCACATAACATGCACAGAACATTACAAAACAGTAAGTAATGAAAAATAAAAACAGTATGAACAGTAAATAATAAATACAGTACAAAAAACACTGATGTATGGCCAAGTGCCTTTGAACCTCTGGCCAGCTGCTGGTTCTGTGATGATCGTAATCCCTCCTCTTAAAGGCGCTCTGGATCTTTCACATATTAGTTGATTATGTGCCACTGCCTCCTATCCTGCCCCTCCTTATGTAAGCCAGCCGTTCTTAATATTCTGGGCTAAGCATTGGAAGATGGACACCCAGAAGCCCGCCTACCAGCAGGTCCTGGAGTGACCCGACGGCATAGGCTTCATCACGGCGTCCTGACCATCTGGGTCCAGCCACCCCGAACTGTTGTCATGCCCCCTTGTTTGTCAACCTAACCAGGTCCTTGTCGTCTTCTCCCTGAGTGTCCGTTTCCACTTACTTCCACATACCGTCTGCATAGGGTCCTGACCAATGCATCGCTACAGGTTCCTTCTGTTTAACTACTCTATCTTCAGGTCTGCTTTCCTGGCAAGGGAGCATAAGTTGGTAAGTTGGTGCAACAGTGTGAGCTAGACCCCACATGCTACCCTGAACTTTAAAAGTAACATTGGGTAAAACCTATTAAGAATGATATTATTGATAAAGCTAATGCAGGCAATTTAACACACATCATGGGAGTTACAGACGCACTGAGAAAAAAATTAACCTGCAATACAAGCTTTTTGTTAGAAAAGATTATTATTAGAATACAAACAGAAAAATCAGTATACAGTACAGATATCTATACTTAGTGGCTCAGTTGTCATTTAACTTAAATGAATAACAGCATTTTCGGCATGGCAGATCCAGCGCATGTTGCTGTCCTTATTGAGCTCAATAAAACTGAATCTGCACAAGACTGTGTCCTGCTCCTCTGATGAAGAATTTTCCACTACAGAGTCAAAACTTCCTAATAAACTAATTTTCAGACCAACGTTCATTTATCTTGTTTTATTTACCTTTCACCCTCTGCTGATCCTAGGCATGTTTTTTACTGTCTACCAGAGCCCCAGTAGACAATGTGGAGAGTTCAAGTACTGTAGGTAGATGTGTCAGCATGCGTAGCCTGCAAAGGAACAAGTAAAGGTTCAATCTATGCTGAGAAGAGAAGAAAGGAAACACAACGTTTCGCTTGTGGAGTCACAGGTGTCACAAGTGTTCATTTTGCTTCTTTTCTTCTGTTTTCAATGTGGACACTATTCCACATGCATCTCCATGGCACCTTAAGCTGACAGCTTCTTTGACTCTCTGCCACTTCATCTCCCTAGCAACTTTGGTTACACCACATGCCCAAACTCCAACATGCTCTTTCTTTGCTGCTTTTCTGGCAATACACCCAGCAGTTACCACAGCTCCTCTTAAACATCTGTGATACCTGCAGCTGGCAACTCTTGGCTGTCCAGCCATAGCACCTCCCTTGCAAACACAAACATTCGCTGCCCCATCAGCTTCGTCAGCTGATACCTGAATCAGAGGTATTTTCACACATTAATTCAGTTCTTTGTCCCTCCCCTAACTGGTTAACAGCTGAAAACTCAGAGGCCTGCATGATGCATAAAGTGTGAAGCTATGAGCCCGAGATTGGAGAACTCAGAAAAAGAAAGCAAGAATAAGGATCACACTAAATGGTTAGATGTGCGTATAAATGTAGCAATTTTGGATATTATTATATTTAAATATTACATTTAATTAATCAACATTTAAGTAGGGTTATGATTAACATTAAAAAAGTATCAATATCACACAATTCCATAAAAAATAAGTACAAGAGCTAACTCTTGACACGCCCCCTCTGAAAGGTTGTTGATCCCTGCAGTAGAGGGAGGAGTCACTTTACAGAAGTGAAACAGAAACTGAACTGCTGATCTGGACGCCATCACTGGTAAGAGCTGCTGAACTCTTTCATTTTCACTAAATGCAGTGCTACACTGACATTCTTCTGTGAATAATTAATGATCTGTGGTTTGTCTCGTTATCAGTGGAGTGAAAGAAGAGTGTTAATAAAGAGCTCAGGGAGCTAAATTTACCTGGAACTGGGACTCTCTCTCATGCAGCTTGAAACTATACAGTTTAGCACTGAAACTATACAGACTATATAGGCATGTGGGCTGGGCTGAACTGAAAAAAGTGTTTTGAGGTGACAACTGCAAGTATCATTAACAATAATATAGAGTTCTATAATATAGAATCTGCTGAAGACTGTTAAAGGTTGTTTACAACATGACAAACTAAATATTTAGGGTTTAGGAATAATATTTAATGCACAATTGGTATTACAAGGTGTTACATTAGGAAAGACACTAGAGAAGGTATGTTTAGTTTCATTAGTGATTTAAGCCTCAGTTCCCAGAGTGCTGTTTTTCCCAGTTAAAATTCTCCCAGCCAGCCCAGTCTATAGTTTCCTATTTTGCTGTGTTCTTATAAGCTACTATAATGGTCTTATAATTTAGTGTACATAAATATATTCTGTCTATTACCTTGTGCATTTTTTTGTGTATGTCTGAAATACCTAATTCTCTTTTACTGCTCCTCTGTTGTCAGGAATGGCTTCATCCTGTCATTTCCTGCCTGAAGAGCAGTTCCAGTGCTCTATATGTCTGGATATATTTACCGACCCAGTGTCCACTGCATGTGGACACAATTTCTGCATGAACTGTATTGGAAAATATTGGGACAACAGTGAAGTGTGTCAGTGTCCACTGTGTAAGGAGACATTTTACAGAAGACCTGTCCTCCGTGTTAACAAAAGCTTTGCGGAAGTCATTGAACATTTCAGAGAGTCAAAAGATAGCAATTATGAAGAACTCTCTGCTAATCCTGGAGAAGTTCCCTGTGATTTCTGCACTGGAAGAAAACTGAAGGCTGTGAAATCATGCCTGGTGTGTCTCACGTCATATTGTTCAGTTCACATCAAACCACATTACAATGTTGTTAAATTAACAAAGCACAGGTTAATTGACCCAGTTTGCAACCTTGAGGACAGGCTATGTGAGAATCATGAGCGACTCCTGGAGCTGTTCTGCAAGACTGACCAGACCTGCATTTGCCATTTCTGCACTGAGTTAGACCATAAAACACACAATGCTGTTCCTTTAGAGAAGGAATGCAGAGAGAAAAAGGTGAGTTTTAGAACCGTTTACTTGCTAGTACAAAAGTAATATTAAAAACTGTTGTTAAATACAAAATGTGATGAAATGTATTGTCACTCAGTTATAATAATAATAATAATTGCTTACACTTATATAGTGCTTTTCTGGACACTCCACTCGAAGCACTTTACAGGTAATGGGGACACCACCAATGTGCAGCATCCACCTGGATGATGCGACAGCAGCCATAGTTCGCCAGAACTCTCACCACACATCAGCTATCAGTAGGGAGGAGAGCAGAGTAATGAAGCCAGTTTATAGATGGGGATTATAGGAGGCCATAATTGGTAAGGGCCAAAGGGAAATGTGGCCAGGACACCGGGGTTCTACCCCTACTCTTTTCGAGAAACACCCTGCCCCACTAACACCCCTTTCAGCAGGGAACTTAGTTTTTCCCAGGAGGTCTCCCATCCAGGTACTGACCAGGCTCACACCTGCTTAACTTCAGTGGGTTGCCTGTTGTGAGTTGCAGAGTGATATTCCTGCTGGCAGTTGTAGCTCTTACAAGCTAATCAAAGGCACCAGCTTCAGTATAGTCTCCTCCTACAGGATCACACTCAGTGATTTGGACACAACTGCACTAATCTGTGGTACTGGCTATTTGGAATGGCTGGTTTTGCAGTCTCATTGGCAGTAACTATAGAACTATTACAAAATCCTTCTCTTCAGGAAGGGGAACAATAAGAAGACACAAGCAGTTCAGTCCATTGATAAATTGGGTAGACATGAACAGCAATGTTGTGCTTTGATGCTAACTGTCTTTTGTTAAAAAGACAACACTCTGAGATATGTGGTATTAATTTTACTGAGGCATGTCCTTGAACTCACTGTTTGATTATTGTTTTGGTTTAGTGAAGCTGTTCTAGTTCATTTATTACATTGAAAACAGGAAGCTTGGAAGACAAATCATTTTTTTCATTATAGGAAAATGAAAAATTATAATATAACATCAAGAATATAATTTCCCAATATGATAAAAATTGTTGAATGCAAAACTGACGAAATGACGAAAGCTATATACTGTAAAAATAATTGTTAGTTTCAGAGTCCGGGTTTTACCTGGGTGCCTTGTAGTGAAAGAAGGTCAGTGTAAGTTTCTGTTTACCAGCCCAGTGTCTGTGTGAATGTCTATTAAGCAGCTCATTTGTACTCCAACCGCAGTTACAGAAATGCTTCTAATCCTATTGTTTGTCCGCAGGTTGAGTTGGGAAGGATTGAGGCAGAAGTACAACAGATGATCCAGGACAGACTGATGAAGGTGGAGTATATCAAACAAGAATTGGACTTCAGCAAAGTGAGTCATGTCAAGAGTCATGTGGGGTATTGCAGACTTTAGAGATGGGATAGTTGTTCTCTCCCAGACACACAAAGGAATTCATGAAGTCTGAGAAGGATTATAATATCATTCTCCAGTTAAAGGACAATGCATTTTTCATTTAATAGTTAGGATAAATTCATCTATTCTCACTGACAGAAAATAAAAACAAAATTTGTATTTTTATGAAGACAATATGAATGTTCATATGGCAAACTCATTGACTCACCGAAGTCTTCTGGACACTGAACAATGTGTGTGAGACCTCTGAATAAGAGCAGGTTGCTACAGTATTGTTATAGTGTTGATGGAGTGGTAGTAAGCAAGCATCCTTCCCAGATAGAGTGAACATGTCCCAATATTGTGGTATACTGTACTGTCAGAGATATGTTACACTAATCCCATGGCACTCTTAATAATGTTACTACTGATAAACACTAAGCCGTGACCAAATTAAATACTGGGGTTGTACAATATGGCCATCATAAAGCTCATCCTTATTTCAATTCGTAAAGCAATTTCTAATTCTTCCACCTGATCTGCTGTGTAGTGGGACTGCTGTTGCAGAATAACTGTGTGTTACCAAGGTAGTGCACTTCAGTAGTGAATGAAGTGGGTCTCCTTTTATGTGTAAAGCACTTTGTAATCATTTAGTATGATGTAAGACCCCAAAGGAAAAGCGGGTATCACTATCATGTACTCTTCTTGAAAGAGCATTTCCTCCTATATCACAGTTTCCATACCACTACCCAACTGCAGTGACTAGAGACATTAATACAAGCCCATGGCACTGTTCATTAAAGTATAGGTGTTAAACCTAATGTCCTGGATACATTCCACTCAGGGTTTGTACAGCCTGGTCTCCCTAAGGATTTTTTGGTATTTCAATTGGTGAAAGTATTTCCATCTGATCTGCTATGTAATGGTGCTGAATGACTGCTGTGTTTCATCCAGGTCAGGACTGGGTTATTTGAGGTAAAAGATCTACATTCTCTTTAAATTTTGTAATTTTTGTTACCTCATGATATACGTTTTTTTTTTCCTCTCAGCACTATGCACAGAAAGAGATTGAGGATAGTGTGTGGATCTTCACTGCACTTGTGAGCTGCATTGAGAGAAGCCAGGCTGAGCTCATTAAGCTGATTGAGGACAAGCAGAGAGCAGCAGAGAGGAGGGCTGAAGAGACCATTACAGAGCTGGAGCAGGAAATCACTGAGCTAAAGAAGAGAAGCACTAAGCTGAAGCAGCTCTCCCACAGTGAGGACCACCTCCACTTTCTACAGGTCAGCACACTACAGAGAGAAGAGAGAAATAACCATGTTAACATTAAGACAATAATTTAAATGCAGACTTACAAGTGTAATCATTTCCTTAGTAATTTAATCTCTCCTGTTGTAGAGTTTTCCATCCCTTTGCTCCCCTCCACACCTCAAGGACTGGTCTGACATAACTGTTCCCTCTGACCTCTGTCTGGGGGCTGTGAGGAGAGCCATGTGTCAGCTGGAGGAAACAGTCAGAGCTGAAGTGAATAAGCTGTCAGAAAGGGGTTTGTATTATTTCTGTTTTTTAATGAATAACAAAGAACAGTATTTAACTTTCATTAAGAGAATACAAGGCTTTTTGTACAGTGGGCACTAATAGTGACAAACATCAACTGTCTTTCAGTTTTTACAGAGACAACTGTATGATAGTCAAACGTCTCCCTACTTGTACAGTATATATTCATAAAGTCTTCAGTACTGCAGTATTCGTTATTTAGAAACTCACTTAAATCAATGTGTCATAAATGGTGTTCTTGAAGTCTGAAGTACCAAGTATATTTCTCCTCTACTGCTGTCTGTGATGAGAACAGGCAATGTGAACAGGTTTGTTCCTCCTTCACTGCTATTTATGTTGGGAAAAGGCAGTGTGAAAAGGTGTGTCTTCATTGCTGTCTGTGTCAAAAACAAGCTGTATGAACAGCGGAGCGGTGGCTCTGTGGCTAAGGATCTCCACCTGTGACTGGAAGGCTGCTGGTTCAAATACTGTGGCTGGCAGAGGAATCCTACTCTGTTGGGCCCCTGAGCAAGGCCCTTAACCCTAACTGCTCCAGGGGTGCTGTACAATGGCAGACCCTGTGCTCTGATCCCAAGCTTCTCTCTCCCTGTCTGTGTCTCCATGGAGAAAAGCTGGGGTATGTGAAAAGACAAATTCCTAATGCAAGAAATTGTATAGGGCTAATAAAGAAACATTATTATTATTATTATTAGGTGTTTTCCTTCTTCACTGTTATCTGTATTGAGAACAGTTCACGTGAACAGGTGCGTCTTCATTGCTATCTGTGATGTGAATAGGTGTGTTGCAGGAAGACTGTGTGTCAGAATGTGTTTGTGTCCAGTCTAAAATGTGATTATTCTCCACTAGCTGTTGAATATTACCTGCTTTTTGTCACTGAGTCTCAGCTCCATCACAAATGGATAGCTCAGACATCATGTGAAGAGGGCTGTTGGTTACACAATGTCTTTAGCTTGGTACTGATGGCAGGGGGATGGTGTAGGGCTGACTGTGTGATAATATGTCTGTTGTAGTTTAAAGATCAACAGCTAAACTTGTCAGACAACACAATACTGTATATTACTGTACCACCCCAGGAAACTACAGTAAAATAAACAAAACCCAAAATAATGTTGAAAAAGGAGTGTTTTTTCTGTTCTCTAACATCTTTCTTTCTGTTTCCAGAGTTTGAGAGAGTGTGCAAATATGCAGGTGAGTCTATCTTATTTGAGAGGAATTTGTAACAGCGGTAGAAGCGGTCAATAAAATCTAATTTTCTAGTAAATTGATGTATTAAAATGTGTTCGTGAGAGAAAAACCATGTGAGTACTATATCAGTTTGTATTTCAATCTATAGGTTTCTGAAATTTATGAGATCACTAAAAAATGATTTCCTTTCAGTTTAAAACATAGCTATTTTTAATAACATCTGAATATTAGTCATTCCTTCATATACTTTTATTTGACAGATTTGTGAGATACAGATTATTTTATCCTTCCTGTCTCCTGTCTCTTTCACAGTTGATGTGACTCTAGATCCCAATACAGCTCATCCCTGGCTCATCCTGTCTGAGGACGGGAAACATGTGAGAGATGGAGACACACGACAGAATCTTCCTGACAATCCAGAGAGATTTAGTTCCTGTGTCTGTGTCCTGGGAAAGGATGGTTTCACTTCAGGGAGACATTACTGGGAGGTGGAGGTGGGGGAGAAGACTAAGTGGGATTTAGGAGTTGCTAGAGAGACTATCAAAAGAAAGGGTCAGATCACACTCAACCCTCAGAATGGTTATTGGACTCTGCGTCTGAGGAAGGGTAATGAATATGAAGCTCTTGCTGGTCCCTCTGTACTCCTCCCCCTAAGGAAGAAGCCCCGGAAGGTGGGGGTATATGTGGATTATGAAGAGGGGGTGTTATCCTTTTACAATGTGGAGGCCAAGGCTCATATCTACACTTTCACTGACACTTTCATTGAAAAACTCTATCCATACTTCAGTCCAGGTCTCCGTCAAGGAGGTACAAACACAGTCCCCCTGATCATCTCTCCTCCCAATCACACACACTGAATGAAGCAAATGATCTGTAGGAGGAGCAGCAAAAATAATTCCCAGTACCAGTACCATAAATGATGATTTATGATTTTAAAATCATTTAAACCACAGGGAATTTATAAAGGTTTTTGGACTTCCGAGCCACAGGGAGTGATATGTGGTTTAAACGGTTTCTAAAAACATAAAAACTAGAACACATTAAAACTTTCTTTTTCTGGTTAGTAAAGTAGCTTATAATTCTGTATAAAATTCAATTCAATAAAATTCAAAAACGTGGAGTAAAAATATTCTGCTTCAAATGTTTCTCTTCAGACATAATGGGAGACAACGTGTTATTTTGGTTACAATATTCTTGGAGAAATCCTTAAATTAAAGAAAGACCATGACCTACCTGATTTCTGTCAGTAGAGACCCCCACCTTTAACTCTGTGTTGTGGGTTTCTTTTGGCTGGTTGGTGAGAGTAGTTTTTTTAAGGATTGTGAAATTATGCTATTCTAACTGAAAAAAAATCAGCACTTCTATTTTCATTCTTGTGTGTTTTTTTGCTTCTGCTACAATATGCTACAATAGCTCAGAGCAAGTCATAGCACATTACAGTACAATACAGTCCAGAGCCCAGGAGAATGTGTATCTCTGTCTTGACCAGTCCCTGGTGGGTCACACTAAACACTTGTTGAAAAAGATAGACTTCAAATCTTATGTCAGAAAAACCTTTTTTTACCCAGTTTTAAAAATTAGAACATGGGAGGTCCAAGATTGAGGTAATGGTCTATCCTGTAGAGCTTCACACCATTTAATTGATATTTTCATAAATATCTACCAAAAATGTACCCTGTGCGATTTTTAATGTGAGATATGTTCATATGAGCCTTGAAGAATATTTTAAAAGAAACTGACAGTATGCCGCAAAGAAACAAAAAAAATCAAAATTTCAAAACAAAAATTCTCCAGAAAGCTTGCTCAGCCAGTCTGCTGTTCAACTAAGAACTTCCAGCAATGCTGATCGCACCACTCTGCCTTGTGCTTTGCCAAGCAATTTGAGCGATTAACAAGGTTATATTGATATTACCAAAGTAATTGAGGAAAAACTCTAATAGTCTAATCATGCAAACACTCCTGCGGAAAACTTGAAAGCTATGAAAAGCAGGCTTCTGAAGTCAAGCAAAAGATCACGACTGTGGAAGATGCCGCTGACTTGTTTGAAGATCTACAAGCTACAAGCACTGGAAAAAGAGGAGCATGAAATGGATGATCATACTGATGATTTGAAAAATAGGGGGAAAAGAAAGAATATACGGATCTTCAGCCTTCCTGAGAACTCAGAGAACCCACTCAATCAAATCCTTCAAGACCTGGCTGGCTAGGTTCCAAAATATTTAAACCAAATCTGGACGCATTAAGATCCAGAGGTCTCGCCACACACTAGCCCCCAAGACAGGTGCGGAACAGCGGATCATGGATTTTGTGTTTTTTTCATCCTTTTTGTCTTTTATTTCTATTATTTATTGCTTATTTAGAATAATGTAAATTAGTTGGTTTACAACTCAAAGGGTTGTTAAGTGAATAATTATTCAACTTGTTTCAGTATTTTCATAAGTCCTTACTGTATGTTAGATATTAGGCTACGAGAGAAAAGGTAATGCTCCTGTTAGTTTATGGGAAAGACCCTCATGCAAATTGTTTTATTGTTCCAAGTATAAAAGTTCTTGTTAATTTTTCTTCACTCTGCTCATTTGTGACAAACATTTTTCTGACTTACAGATTGTCATTAAGGAGACATTTATGACATTTTTGACAAAAATTATAGCTAGTAACATTAAAGCTAGGCATTTGGAAAATGATCCACATTTTGGCCAAGTCCATTCTGGAAACTGTAAAAATTGAACAAAGTAAAATGTAGGCATACACTGCAGCAACAACAAAAACTATTCAAACTATTTAATATATTTTTATATATTGGCTATAGCATGATGTTTTTATCCAAAGCAGCTGCTGCTGGGAGAAATATGACACTTCCTGAGCTTTATCTGCACCCAGTTCATGAGCTCAGACACCAGAAGATAAAACAACTGGAAGATTCACACACAAAATCTAGAACAGTGGTTCTCAAATGTTTTGGACCAAGGACCAACCCTCACCAAACCAAGCTTCCAAGTAGCACCTACAAGTCATCTTCTCATAGGAACCACAGAAAATCTCAATGACCAACATTGGTGCGCGCACACACACTCACAAACACATATAATAAAAATAGCACTAGTGTGACTAGTGTGCTGTCTGTGTCAGGTTCAGCAGCAGAGCTTTAGGAATGCTCACTTACAGCTCTTCTTTGGGCAGTAGTGTGGTACACTATGAAGTCACTGACCTGGACCCACTATTAATGCATTCGCTATCAGGTCACTGTCTCCCCTCTCTGACCACAGCCAGGTTAATCCACACATCAAAAGAACATACTAGCTCACAAAGACATACAAAGACAGCCCAACCGTAACGAAGCATTATTTCCGGACCCTATGCAGATGACAAAATCCGGGGTAAAGTAAGAAAAACGTGGGGGAAAAGGCATGCGGGAGTCGGGGATGAAAACAGGGGGGGTGTTCGGGGGAGGTGTGGCCGAGGCAAACCATCCAGAGCTGAGTCCAAAAGGGGAATCCAAAACGGGGCAAAAGTCCAAAGCCAGGCAATCCATCCAAGACAGATGAGAATAAAATAAGAACCGGGTCGGGACCGGGACCGGGACCGGAACAGGAACAGGAACAGGAACAGGAACAGGAACAGGAACAGGAACTAAAACCTTGACGGGACCAGGCGCTTCCAGGTCCCGGACTCGCCTGGTATGGGAACCAATGCAGAGCCCGGAATAAAGTAGGCGTCTGGCTTTTAAGGGGCGACTGAAAAGGGGGCTGGAACAGGGAGCAGGTGCGGGAGATGAGTGAAAAACAAGGAAGGGCTGGAGCGTCCTTATGTGGAGGGGTTTACGCTCGTGACACCAACAAGCTGTATGACCATTAAAAGTCCTACAGATGGGGTACAAACAACCTAACCGAGTTCCAGAGATGACTAAGTAATTGAGAAACTCAAACATTATTGAATACAATCCTTAGAATAGAATAAGTATACAGTATATGTGCCTATATAAAAATTAAACCAATTTTTTTTTTATAAATTAGCCCTGAAATCAAAATGAATCTTTCTGTTACTTTCATCAGATAAGAAACTAGCAGTCTGGTACCATGAAAGGAGAGCTTCTTTACTAAAACCATGGGTTAGAAGAGTCAGAGCATTAACTTTATGTTTACTGTCTACATCACTCACAGAGCTCACACCCGAAGAAGGCTCCACAGCCGAAATGTTGTTTCCTTTCATCTCTCTTCAGCATGGAATAAACCTTTAACTTGTTCCTTTGCTGCCTACGCATGCTGACGCTGATGCATGCTGATGTATGGAGGTGAAGAGGAGGTTTAAGAGTTAAGAGTTACGATTCACACATTCTTTTTCTATTTGCTACCAAACAAGCAAGATGAACCAAATGGTCTCCTACTATAAACCTTGTTTTGATGTTTGTATATACTGAGAGCAAATGTAGTGTAGACCTACAGAAATTCAATTATTAACACATGGTTTAGAGCTTTCTTATCCTGTATTTATTTAAAAAATAAAACTTCAGATGATGCACAAATAGTGCAATAAATGCTGAATGGATGAGAAGCATCAGTTTTGTAAGGGGTTATTATTATTTGTTTTTTACAAATGTTTCAGATCTAGCTATAGTTCTTACACAAGTTTGAAATGTATAATTCATACATTAAACTCAGTAAAAACATATATATTAGTTCAATTATCCCAGCACACAGTAGCTCCAATTCTGACCTGACTGTTTACTCACACACTGCAGTATCTGACCTCTTCTCACTGTCACTCTAGCACAAATCAGCTTCAGTCCCGCCCTCTGACTCTTCTTTGGCACTGAGTTTATGTACAGTATTTTAGCTCATGGTCTCTGCATGTAAACATCAAAGTTGCTCTAAGATGAATATGGATTGCACGATGAAGACTGTTATTCTGCTTAATCCTCCACCTTAACTGGCGATAGTGTTGGATACTAGAGACATGGCACACCTTACTTCTTTTATTGTATCTAAACTGACCTGTTCAGCCTGAAGAACAATGTTCCTATCCCTTCTGATAAAACCTCTCTGGAGTCAGTGACAGTGAGCAAGGGCTGGAGAGCAGGTGGGAATAGGCAGACCTGTCATTCATGTTTGAACTAGGTTGATATATTGTAATATTATCAGGTTTAGTAGAGATTACGTTAAACATTAAGTGGCATTAATGTTAAAAGAATCTTATAAATGTAAGATGTATCCAATATTTCTGCTTGTATAAAATAACTAACTGAGTGGGAACAAAGCCTTTTATTGACATGATATCCTATAAGTCCTTACCTGGATATTCTATGACATTCTAATAAATTAATTTTAGGGAACAGCAGCTTTTTCTGGGAATTGTATAGAATATTTCAAATAATTGTAATTACCAATTACAATTTATCTGTAATCTACCAGATAATCATTCTGGTACTGTACATGGGAATATATGATTAAAAATGATGGAAATTCCATCCATCTTCACTCCGCTTTTCCTGGTGAGGGTCACGTTTGCAGCAGGCTGAGATCGGCCCAGAGTTCCCTGTCCCCAGAAACAGATTCCAGCTCCTCCTGGGGGATCCCCAGGCGATCCCAAGCTAGCCGAGAGATAAAATCCCTCCAGCGTGTCCTGTGTCTGCCACAGGGTCTCTGCTCAGTGGGATGTGTCCGGAACAGCGCCACCAGAAGCCGACCGGGGGGCAATCCTTACGAGATGCCCAAACCACCTCAACTGGCTCCTTTCGATCTGGAGGAGCAGCGGCTCTACCCTGAGGCTCTCCCGGATTGCCAAGCTCCTCCTCACCCTGTCACAAAGAGTCTGCCGCTTGTATCCGTGGTCTTATTCTTTCGGTCATTACCCACAGCTCATGACCATAGATGAGGACAGGGACGTAGGTCGACGGGTTAACCGAGAGCTTTGTCTTCAAACTCAGCTCCCACTTCAACACCACAGCAAAGCAGCTGACACTGCCCCGATCCGCTTGTATTTATATTATATATATGTTATAATATATTATATTTATTTTTTCCTTGTATTTATAAAGGTCTTTCATCCCAGAACATTTAAATTCAGGAGTGGACCCATTTCACAGCCACTGAAGTACAGCATCTACCTTAGTATACAGGGTAAGGAGGAGCTTGGCAAACTGGGAGAGCCTCAGGGTAGAGTCGCTGCTCCTCCAGATCGAAAGGAGCCAGTTGAGGTGGTTTGGGCATCTCGTAAGGATTGCCCCCCGGTCGGCTTCTGGTGGCGCTGTTCCGGGCACGTCCCACTGGGCAGAGACCCCATGGCAGACACATTAATGTATAATTGTTCTCTTGATCTCATCTAGCTGTGTCTTGAAGAAAACCAAAGCCATTAAGTAAAACAATAGTGTCATAAACAAGTTGTCCAAACATAAACAAACTCTGCTGGAACTCTAACTAAACTTCTATCAAAATGTTCTCTTTAGATGTAGAAAGGTAGCTAAGGTACTTACTGGCACCAAAACGAAACAAATATTTTCCTCAAAACGCACAAGGTCAATTCCAATGTACTTGAAGATTTACTACCTTAGTCAGCTGTTTAGAAAAGCCCATGATTTTTGAGAGTAGGCACAACGTCCTGAGAGGTTAGAAGGGTTGGAATATTTATTCAACTCTTGAATTGTCTTTACCTGGATTAATTTAAGGCCTAACGAGTCAATCGACTTCTGAGGCCTTACAAAAGTATTAACGAATCAAAACCTTTGCACATACCACATTCAAAAGTTAATTTTTTCAATCTGTTAAATTCATCAAATCATAATTGTGCTGTAAATTGCCCAGAATTTATGCCATATTTAAGTTTGTAAGCCACTCTCTTAGTTTAAATACACAAGGGGCAAGGCAAGCAGTGAAACTGTTTTCTTTCAATATTCTTTAGATCTACAACAATCCAGTGAAAATAATACCTACAGGACTATGAATGTATTTAACTTTTTTTCTGGATATTATTTATTGACTTTGCTTTTTCTGATGCTATTGAGATTACAGTATAACAGTTTTAGATTTTTTGAGGCAAGGTGCATTACCAAGTCCATAATTCTTCCTTTTATGTTTTTTTTTTATATTTCAGCAAAGGCATTAATAAATGTGCTGTATACAGTGCCATATAATAGAGGGTATTCTCACTGTACACAGCAGAGAACTTAGAAAAGGTTCAATTTAAATGTGAGAGATACTGTATAGTATTTTATTAATCAGTTTGGATTCCTTACAAAACCTTTCATTTTCATTTCATTCAAACCTTTCAATAAGTTCATTTTCCTGTTTCAGTGAACACAAAACAGCAATGACAATTTACTGAACTTTTCGGGTGGTGTTGTGAATAATTAAATGGGATTTTCTTTCTTGTATGCCTTTTTCTATGCATTCACAAGTTATATGAATCAGGGTCTTGAAAAATTAGTAGAAGTTATAATAGTTATAAAGTATAACATAATAGAAGTCAACAGTAGACAAGCCGGTGTAAAACAATATTGCAATTTATTCAAAATGTTTAACTGATTATACCCACAGCCTTATAAACTTTTTTAGACATTTTTATTTGGAACCTTGGGCAATGCGGTAGCAGGTATACATCAACAGCCCTAATACACAGAATCAGAAGAAGAGACTTTATAAATATCTTCACTGCTGAGTCAGGAGAAACAGTCATGCAGACCAGATTTGCAAGCAAGAGTGGAAGAGTAGAAGACAGTTGGGTTCAAATTCCTACTTGTACAGTGGCAGAGATAATGTCCTAGCAGTTAGACAGCACCAACTACAGTTCAGCAGCACAAATTTATTTTGAATATTGTCACCCAGGTAAAAGAGTATTAGTCCTGTTTCACCAGCACCACTTAAATGTTAGTTAATCTGATGTTCATTAGAAATACACTAAAGCTACAAACTGTAATGCGCATTGCAACCAGAAAAGGCCAGGCCCCGAAATACACCTAGGAAGTACATAAGAACTTAGAAGGGTAGAAAACAGAGGGGGCCTTTCAGCCTATCTAGTCCATTTGGTATCAGGTAGCTACCAAAGGATCAAGATCTCATCCATCTGTTCCTTTGACATAAGACAGGTGATCAGATTCAATATGGCTGGGAAATATGTTCCATCTTTCTACAGCCCTTTGGGGTAAAGAAGTAAATGCACTTTCCCATCTCCCACTTTATCTGGCTCAGATACGTCACTTTATAATGCTAGTATTTACCTCTCAGGACACGTCTGAAATTCCTTCTACTTGATTTCATATCATCGACGTTTCTGTGCTACTTTCCTTGCTCTTCATCAATTCAGCAACACACTTACCATGCTAAACCCTCCACTGTCCTGCTCTCTTTATGGTGAAACGCTTCCAAATCTAGACACATTAAGGAAACGGTGACATCTGAATGTTTCAGAAAACAGATTGCACATACGTAGCAGTATATAGTAGCCTCAACCAAATTTCAGTTATAAAGAATCTTTTCTAGAAATAAACAATCCGTTTTACAATTTCAATATCCTTCGTGGCATGCTGCTGAGAGCTGATTTACAGTATATTAAATAATATACTGTAAGTTTTATCTGTTTATTTTATTTGTATTATGCCTTACTGGTTAGGATTCTTGCATTCCATTCCACTGATAATCTGCCTGATTGATGGGGGAGATAATCAGTGGGGCTGTGTTTCTACCTCCCTCATGTGCACCAGGGCTGAAGTGAGGATACATTTTCTCCTTGAAGGTATCAGTGAAAGTATAGATATGTGTCCTGGCCTCTGCATCATAAAATGAAACCTGTCCCTTTTCATAATCTACATATACCCCGATCTTCCTGGGCTTTGTGCTCAGTAGGAGGACAGAAGAAGGACGAGAGAAAGCCTTGTACTCGTGAGAATTCCTCAATCCCACAGTCCAGTAACCTTTCTTAGGACTCAGTGTAATCTTCCCCTTCCTCTCAATTGACTCACTGGCGACTCCTAAAGTCCATTCAGTCTTCTCGTCCACCTGCACCTCCCAATAGTGTTTCCCTGAGGTGAAACCATCCTTCCCCAGGACATTGACACAAGCATCAAATCTCTCCGGATTGTCATGGAAAACCTGCCGTATGTCTCCGTGTCTCGCTTGCTTCCCATCAGCAGACAGTATGAGACTGGGATGGGCCGTATTGGGGTCCAGAACAACGTCGACTGTGGAGTACATGCACAACAATCATGCCAACAGTATTTTCATATCAATTGTTTTGATAAAATCAACAGTATTGCAGAATGAACATGAACATGAACAGGAAAAGAGAAATTAATTCACAAACCTGCATTTTGCCGCATCTTCCTCATCTCTGTACAAAAACAGTGAAATAAAGAGCAATATAAGATCATGTGAATGAACGGAACCCAACAAAACAATATTGCGTAAATGTGAACTGACAGAGCGCTATAGCAATACTATCTGCTTGATTAAGAGCCCGAGAGAGAGTTCAATGTCTTTGCCTAGCCTTGTTCTAAAGATGGCTGGCCTTAATTGACTAAAGATATGCTTCAAATACCCCAAGTTGTATGCACAACATTGTCTGAAGCGGGAGAAGACGGAATGCAGTGACTTAAGTGATAGCAGACATGATGGACATTCAAGATATGAAGCGACTTGGGTGTCTAAACCCCATGGAACAGAATTCTTGTCATAATTAAACATGAAAAGGGAAGGCAAATATGAAAACGGCACTGACGAAAACATAATGACTACATTTCTTTTGAGGAAATGAGGGTCATAATGACAATAGACAAATTCAGCAAACCCAAGGGGTATGAACATTAACTACAGGACTCTACAACATGGTAAACAAATGGCATACAGTATAAATATTAAGAAAGGAAGCTGTTTGTTATTTTATAAAATAGTGCTGAGGAGCTCTTTCATATTCAGCAAAAATCATTAATCTTAAAAGGTAACTTTTTTCAGCAGCCTAAACTAACAAAGGAAAATGTAAACCTTTAAAACGTTTTTTCCCAAAGCTAAGAAATGTTTCATAGCATTGTTATTATTTGTAGGGTAAATTCTTATTCCATTCTTACTGATTTCAGGCAGTTTTTCTATTTCCTCGCTAAGTCTGTCCTCCAGTTGACACACAGCTCTTCTCAAATCTGCCAAGCACAGGTCAGTGTGAAC